TACCTGGAAATAAAGGTCAGAAGACAAGCATCTCCAGAAGCAGAACAAGACGAAGGCTCTAGGGGCAAGTGAGACTGTGTGCTGGTGGCATGGAGGTCTCAGGATTTTATAGGACATAAACAGATGTTGTGGGGAATGGAAGAGCCCATATGTGGTAGGTGAGCTCCCCTGCAGTCTCCAAGTGGTAGCTCCAAGCATGGGTCCCCTGATCAGAAGCCTTTCCAGATGTCAGAGGTCAAGTGAACTCTCCAGCCCAGAGCTTCGTGGTCCACCTGGAGCTTTTGGGAACTAACACTGTACCAACATGGTGCCAAAACTCTCTAGAGCCAAAGGACCAAGAAGGTGAAACTTTCATAACTAGGAAAAACCAGGTAATTTTCCTGAGCCCTTGACTTCATTTCACAAGTCTCCTACCCCCACCCCACCTCAGCCTACCCTTCACATCTTTACAGATTAGAGAACCAGGAACCCAAACCACTGGGGCACCTTTCTACCAACACAGGTGACTTCCTTTGAGACTGGGATTTGCATTCCTCAGAGACTTTGACAGACTCAATGACAGGCAGGATGGCTAACAAGGCTATTCCATGGGGATTCAAGTTAATAAGTACAACTTAACCATTAAAACACCTAGTTTATAAAACAAAAGACTATAAACCCAAGTAGTATTCTAAATACAATTCCTGTCTAACATCTCAGCAAGAAAATTAAACAGATTTACTATAGAATTAAACAAAATTTTTAAAAAAAATCTGTATCTCTAATGGCTATTATGTTCTTCCTGAAACTGGAGCAATGTTGTGTTTTACACTAAAAACATGACAGAGATCATGAGTCCTACTTTAATAACTTTTTGAGGGTTGTAACCCTAACTGGCAAGTAAGAATAAAAATAAATAACTTCTTTATATAATTACCATAAGCCAAAGTACCACGAAATAGTCTATGCAAAGCAACATAACCAAATGACAGGCCACATGTAAAAGATAGCTTGGGTGCTTAGCTACATGGGCATTACTAGTATAGTTATTTTTATTTATATCCTCCCTTCTATATGAGTTTCAGTTTTTCCCCACTTTTCAACTAAAAGGTCTTTTTAGTCATTCCTTCTTTTCACAGGAAACAAATCAAAATGACTTCTAAGAATTTATTCAGCATAAAGAATGTTTGTCTTTCTCCATAATTATTCAGTATAATATGCAAATGCAGAAAGAGTACACTAAGAGGTTGGGGAATTACGTCACCAACAAAATTATAAATGCAAAAGAAATGTGTAGAAGGAAACCATGGTAAAGAGCTGCAAGATTCAAAGATAAAAGAGATTAGAAAACCCAGAGAAGAAATGAAAATACACTCTAATCTATCCTGCATCAACAGAAGCTAAGGATAAAAATATAAATACCAAAAGTTAGAATAAGTGCCTATTTTGGACAAAGCCTTAGAGAAAACCCCAAAGTTCTAGAAATTGTTTTCATGTAAAAGAGTGGGGTGCACTGGCTGCAAAGCATGGTGCCGTGGCTGCAGGCTATGCCTGGAAAGGCTCTCATCATGTCCAACTTCCCTTCAAATACTTCCACATGTAGGTATATTTGACATTGAGGGAGAGAGAGAGAGAGAGAGAGAGAGAGAGAGAGAGAGAGAGAGAGAGTGTGGGGTTTTGGTTTCATGTAGCAAAATAAAAGAAAATATTTATTTGCCACTTGGGAAACTGAGGACAGCAGAGGCAAGCTGCTCTGCCAGGATCTACTTCATGCCAAGGGGAAGCAGTAAAGAGCTGGGAATTTAAATATTCAGGACCCTGACTCTCCAGCCTGAGTGCTTATTTCACATCCCTGTAGATTAAAGCGTGTACACATACACACAAACACTCACACACAGAGAGAGACACACACACACACACACACACACACACACACACGAGAGAGAGAGAGAAATTGGACTAGAAGAACAGCTAGGTACCTCATAAATTAGTCTTAGAGTACAAGAAGGAAGTAGTACAGGTTTAGAATTAAAGTATAATGAACAAGGTAGAACCAGGGCTGACAAGTAGGTGTGGGGGAAGGGGTGATATAAAGTGTGTTGGTTTCTGAGCAAAATGCTGTTATTAAGGATAATTACACCAACTTGATCTGAATCCAGTGTTTCATATTCATTGGAAAAGATACATTAAAGGAACAGTGAATTCTTTTACAAATAAACACATCCATCCAAGAAAGTTTCTAACTAATAGGTTCAATCTTAAATGTAATAAAAAGCAGAAGTTATTTCAGTGCTTATAATTTTAACAATAATGGCCTTCTTATACTTTTTTAAAAATTATCATTACATCACTTCCCCCTTCCCTTCCTCCTTCAACCCCCTCCCATGCATCCTACTTGCTGTCATATTCATGGCCTCTTTTTCTTTAATTGCTCTTCACACTGATTGCCAGAGTGGCTGCCTCATTTTCAATCCCACCACAATCCCCTCCAGCATTTGTTGTCTGTTATTTTGTCAAGTTTGCCATCCTGGTTGGGTTAAGACAAAATTCCCTGATTGCTAGGGACAATGAATATTTTGTCAGATTTATTTCTTTGAGAACTCTGTTCAGACCCCAGTGTTTAAATGGGTTATCTAGTTTTTGACTCTTCATTTTCTGAGTTCTTTATATATTCTGGGTATCAATCCTCTGTCAGAAGCAGACCTGGCCAAGATTCTTTCCCATTCTGTGGGCTTTCACATTATTCAATTGTTTCTTCAGCTGTGCAGAACCCTTGCCATTTTATGAGGTCTCATTTGTTGGCCTCAATTCTTGGGCAAATGAAGTCCTATTTAGAAAGTTCTTTCCTGCACCTATATACTGTAGGGCACTACCTACATTTTCTTCTAGTAGTTTCCTTGTTTCAAATTTCATATTTACATCTTTGATCCATTTGGAGTTAGCTTTGTGCAGGTGATAAATAGGGGTCTCATTTCATTCCTTGACATGTGGGCACCCAGTTTTCCCAGTACCATTTGTTGGAGATACTTTATTTCCTCCAGTGTTTTTTGGGAGCATCTTTGTGAAATATTAGATGGCTGAAGTTATACATACTCATGTTTGGATTTTGGATTCTTTTCCATTTGTCTACATGTCTGTTTTCTTATGCCAGTACCGTAATTACTTAACATTCGTTACTAAAAATTACTTTTATAGTTCTAATAAAACTACAATAATTTTTTAATAATGTAAAGCAAAAAAGGGAGATGTTTTGATGTGGCCACATTGGGAAGAGACACAAAGAGATCCACAGGGGCCTGAAGTGAGATTAAGGTTTAAGTAGAAGGCCAAGGATTTGAGTCTTGAAGCAGCCCCTGCCCACATCATTACGTAGCTTCCTTCCCAGCTTTAAGGTATGCTGACAAGTTGTTAGAACTGTGAAATCCTGATCCTAGAAATAGGTTCTCCCTGAATGAGATTTTGGGGAATTTCTGTATCTCTGGGGTCCCTTCTTTGGACAGTCTGGTACTCAGACTGAGAGATAAAATTTCCCTTTGGAATATCTTCACTTCTGCCTGGCCTATTACAATATAATAAAGGAAACGCTAGTAGAGACCAAGATTAGAACACAGTTGGTGGCTAAACAGCCATGCACACTTTTGGATACTTGGGAAATGGTCCTAATGCTAAGGTTCAGGTAAGATAGATGGTCCCTCTAGACATTAGCTCATGTAACTAACATATACCTACTTCAAATGGACCCTACCAGCCTTTAGAGAACTCTGACCTCTGGACAGGCTTCATTGTGTGAGCACAGCTTCTGGCAGAGGAACATGAGCAACATTTTTGAGATGCTGGTGCATCACATACAAAGCAAACAGAATAGATGGCCAGAGCCATTTCTATACCTCAATTGCTTGAATTGGGCCAAAAGGTTTTATTCTCACTACCTCCCTGACATCTGTGACTTATTTCCTACAACTAAGGTGGTATCAAACCAAACCAACCAGGACGAATCATTTGCTGGTGTGGCAGCTTGAATGAAAATGTCCCAAATAGGGTTATATAGTTGAACACTTGGACCCCAGTTGCTGGAGCTATTCAAGAAGGATTAGGAACTGGGGCCTTGTGGAAGGAAGTTTGTCACTGGGGACAGACTGAGATTTCAAAAACCCATGCTGTTCCCTGTTGTAGAATATTATTTGAACTGGGCAAAGATGTGTTGCATTTGTTTATGCTGCAGAATATTACTTTAGCCGTGTAAAAGTATGTTACTTTTGTTTATGATTCACTTGTTTATTTATGTAGAAATGCATTGCCTTTGTTTCACCTTGCTTGCTTAAGGCACCTGACTGGTTTAATAAAAAGCTGACCAGCCAATAGCTGGCAAGAGACAGGCAGGGGGGGCGGGGAGAGAGAATAAATAGTAGAGAGAAGAAAGAAAAAAGGAAAGAAAGGGGAAGAGAAGGGAAAAGAGAATGAGAGAGACCTGGAGTCAGCTAGGCAGCCACCAGCCAGCAGAAATGAGATGCAGTGAAAGTAAGATATACAGAAAAAGGTGAAAAGCCCCAAGGCAAAAGGTAGATAAAAAGAAACAGGTTAATTTAAATTAAAAGAGCTAGCAAGAAATGAGCCTACACAAGGCTGAACATTCAAAACTATTAAGTCTCTGTGTCATGATCTGGGAGCTAGTTGGTGGCCTAAAAGAAAAAAGGCTGTTACACTTCCTAGTTAGCTCTCTGTCTGGGCTCCCACTTGTGGATCAAGATGTCAGCTCTCAGCAACTGCTGCCAGCATATGCCTGCATGCCTACCTGCAGCCATGTCCCTGCTATGATGGTCATGGGTTCTAACCCTCTGGATCTTTAAGTCCCAAGTAAATGTTTTCTTTTATAAGTTGCCTTGGTCATGGTGTCTTATTTCAGCAATAGAAAAGTCACTAAAATGCCCACCATCATCAGTCAATGGAGAATGAATAAGCATAAGGTTAATGAACAATGCATCCAGATAACATGGTTTAGACAAGGCAGAAAGTTGTCAGACCTGAAACAAAGGCATCCTGGGCATGGCAGCGCTTGACTGTAATCTGGGAAGCTGAAACGGGAGAATGTGAAGTGTGATGCCAGTCTATGCCTTATCACAAGATCTTGCCTCACAACAACAAGATGGAGTTGCTTGTGGCAGCCCTCCCCAAATAACAAAAAGCCATTAAATTCTTTCAGGCATAATCTGTTTTATCCTATAAAAAAAAGTATATATACACTTTTTAAAATCTCCAACTGCATGATTAGAATTTATGTATAAATTATGAAAATACTAGTGGCACTGTTTTCATTTTGTTACTTAGAATTATGATCTTTAAAAAGCTACAAGAAATAGAGGCTTCTCTCTGAAGTTTAAGTACCTAAAATATATGCATTTCCTGGAGAAAGTCTTGTACATGATATAAGCTACCTATTTCAACAAAATACTATCAATAGCCTCTCTTCCCATCAAACTATGTGCGTGTGTGTGTACTTTTTTAGTAAATAAATATACTGGTTCCTATCCTGGTGTAGGTGTATAGCTTAGAGGCAGAAAAACTGCCTACTATATACAAGGCTCTAGGTTTAATCTCTTAAACCACAAAAAATAAATAAATACAATATCAAAATAAAATTGCATCCCCCACATCCAGGAGAGTCAAAGTGGGCCTCAAACCCACCACAGTACATCTGTCTTTTTGTACCTAACAGACACTTATGGGACCAAAGAGAACCAACAGCTCTTGGATGAATATACAGACTGCTATGAGAATTACTTTCCAGGAAGAGAAACAACTGATACTTCCCTGCTGGCAAAATATTTTTCTAATTCTAAATTCTTCTAACTAAATCTGATACAAAATGTCTGGTGAGTCTGATTGAATGAACTTTAAAAAAAAAATCTGATGGACATTGCAAAAGCCAATTTCAAATAGTTTATTCTTTAGATACAAAAAAACCTATGATTCTTGTTAAATGCATAGCAATTAGAAATAAATGTGGTTCTTTTTCCTAAAACACAAGAAAGCAGCTTTTTCTGAGACTTGATAATATTTATTTAAAAGTATGAACACTGGAGGAACTATAAACTTGGTTAACAATATTGTAATTGTAAAAAGTACCATTCTTTTAACAGAATATGCACTCAGTGAACACAACTCTCCTATAGACATGGATGCAGCAAACTATGAAGGATTCAATCATGTTTCAAGCTCCAGAATGTAGGTATCACTCATGTCAACCTATTGAAGTACTCAAAGGTAAGTATAATGAGCACAGTGTGGTGGCCTGTGTAATTATCTCAGTATGCAGAGGCTGAGGCATGTGGATGTCTGTGAGTTACAGGAAGCCTCAAAGCCAGTAAAATGATCTGCAGATGGTAATGACAGCATTCCACCTGGAACTGGAGAGGTGACTAAACTCTGTAGAGGACTGGAATTAGGAGTCCTAGATGTCAGCTGCCCTCTGTGCATGCTACTCCAGGGGACAACAACCTTAAAAATAAATAATAAATAAAATCTGTGCTGAGGCTGGATTGATGGCTCAGTGGTTAAGAGCACTGGTTTCTCCTAGGAGGACCTGGGTTTGATTCTTAGCACTCACATGGTGGCTCACAACCATCAGTAACTCCAGTTCCAGGGAACCCAATACCCTTTTCTAGCCTCCCTGGATACCAGGCACACACATGATACAGACATGCAATGGAGGCAAAAGACCCACACATATAAAATAATGTAATATTCAGTTTTTCAAGCCACAGGTTTCAGTGGAACGTGAATGCTACAGCTAGCTCAATCATTACTGCAACCATGAGTGCCCCTTATTGTCTCCTCCTGAACACTCCCAGATTAAATGTTCTAATAAGCAGAACAAAAGGGATCTGAGGCTATGTGGAGACTTTAGAGACATATTTGTAGGCTGCAGCTGAACTCTTCAGTCCTGACCAGTGATCACAGCAGCTCAAGAACCGTCCAGGATTTCAGCTCTTACCCTAACAACCTTACTCACTGGAAAACTGTGTCACAAGTTTATACTGATATTGATTTCATTTTTCTTTCATTTTAAGTGCAAAATTGCCCTACACTCTAAACTGTATAAGCCCACGGACATAGGCAACTCCACATCAACTGAGATGAGCAAGTCTGAGCAAGTCTGGATTCTGAGCAAGTGAGGCTCTGACATTCAGCCCATCAAATACAGGAAAACATCTGTCTTCACCCTAAAGACAATAATCCATCAGGAGAAGCATCTCCCCACTGCCTTCAACAGTATTCACTGTTAATAAAGGAGTAACTTCTTAGGAACATTAAGTGAAAACAATTAGTGGTGCTAACTAAGGAAATTTTATAAACTTTTCCAAGAGAAAAAAATCTACTATTAACAGTCACACTACAGCACTTCAGTGAAACCACAAAATTTCTACAGAACTCCTCGACTGAGGTATTTAATAAGAGCCAGGTGCAGTGGCTGAGGCAAAAGTGCCATGAGTTCAAAGCCAGCCAGGGCTAAAAAATGAGACTAAACAAAAATCCTTTCATAAAAGTTAAATTGAGCCACTTACTGCAAACTGCCCACCCTGACGGCTACAGGAACATGGGGGAGCTGTGTGGCCCACTTCAGTGTCACATCCTGGTAAACATGCAGCATGTGATTATGGTTTCCAATCAGAGTATTTATCGTGCCTTCAGAAACTGCAGGGTGAAGATAGAGAAAAAAGATAGTAAGAAAAAGGCTGCTCAGAATTGCACCCTGTGATCTCTTTGGGGAAATTTATCACACACTAATTTAATATCTTGGTTTTAACACATAAAGATTGTAGGTGATAATATATTAGCTTTCAACTTCAAGAAACCAATAGCAAAAAAGAAACAAATCATTTTGTAGACAAGGGGTATAGATATCAGACTAGGAGTTTGCATTTCATCTAGACAGTATGAATTTTATTAACAAATCACACATGTAAACTAATGACTGATGGGCATTCACTGCAAGTCCCTCTATTAGACATCACGGCTCTGCTTATAAAACAGTGATGTTCTCATGGAAGAATTCTTGAATAGTCACACTATGGAAAACATTCATGAGTTGGAAGCCAGCCTACAAGTGATCTTACAAAGTCAAAGGGCTGGCAAAACCACACATGCTTTATATCAAATATCTACTAAAACTATGAAAGCTAGAGGTTTCATTATATGTTCAGTAAAAACTACTTTCCTAGATGTTAAAACCTGTGTCTGAGTGTGGCTTTTTCTGATGTGTGTGTATATGTGTAAGACAGAACTGAGATATGGAAAGGGTACAGAAAAACGTCATACCCACCAGAGCAGTACGGGAGAAAACAGCTGGGGCTACAATCCAGTTTCTTCATGAATCGAATCTGCCCATTGTCCTTCAGGCAAAAAAAGTTTCTCTCACCAAGAACAAAAACAGAAGATGCAGACTGGTTAAAAGGGATGATACAAATATCAAGAGCTTGCTCTCCAATATTCAGAGTCCAGTCCACCTGAAAAGCAAAACCCAACAGTGATGCAGCTGTTACAAACAGACTGTGTCTTCACTTTCGTATCAAGGTAAATGAAGAAACTGCTTTACAGCAAACCAAGATGTCTAACTTGCTGGTTTTGTCTTAGGCTGGCTTGCTTTAGCTAGTAGTGTGTAGGTTTATCTTCTCTCTTACCAAGTGATACTGGCTACACAGTGATTCTGAAGCATGCATCAGGGAAGTTACCTGCTGTGCTCTGAAGAAACCCATGAGCACTGGAATAGTGGTTGGGGGGCACTAATACACAGTAATGTACCATGTATACAAAAGGCTGGGAGAGCACCAAATGTTCTCCACAGAGAAATGACAGTGGCTAGAGAGATAACTCAGCAGTTAGGAGTGCATGCTCTTGCCGAGGACCAGGGTCATGTTCCCAGCATCCATATGGTGACTCACAACCATCTAATAAGTCTACTTACAGGACATCTGATGGCCTCTTCAGACCTCCACAATCACAGGCACATATGTAGCATATAAGCAAACATTCATGCAAAATATCCATGCATATAAAATAAAAGTAAATACATCTTTTTTAAAAAATGATGAATTGTGGAGAAGATTGATTTGTTAGGCCGGATTTTAACATTAAACAAATGTATACATAAATCAAAACACACATGGCACTCCATGTATATGTATAACGTTCATGTGCATATATATATATATATATATATATATACACATATATCTATATATCAGTTTTGAAATACATTTAATCTTTTAAAGCTACCATGTTTACATTATAAACCAATAAATCATAATCAACAAAATGTATAGTTAATATTGTTATAAGCATAATGTTTCGCAACAATGATATCTCTAAAATACATCCATATGCAGTCCGCCACTGAGCCATCATCAAGTGATAATAGGAGGAGAGACATTGACTTCCCTATACTAAGAACTACTTGAAGAGGAATCTACTCCCATGAAGTATGCTCAATAGATAGTAAATGCTTCTTAAAATAATGAAGGATAGACATGAAGCACACATGCAAAAAGTTGTTAGAAGTCAGTCATAGTTTATATATATATATATATATATATATTTTTCGAGACAGAGTTTCTCTGTGTAGCTTTGGAGCTATCCTGGTACTCGCTCTGGAGACCAGGCTGGCCTCGAACTCACAGAGATCCGCCTGACTCTACCTCCCGAGTGCTGGGATTAAAGGCATGTGCCACCAATGCCCTGCAAAGATTTTATTTTTTTATTATGTATACAACATTCTGCTTCCATGTATATCTGCACACCAGACGAGGGCACCAGATCTCTTAACGGATGGTTGTGAGCCACCATGTGGTTGCTGGGAATTGAACTCAGGACCTCTGGAAGAGCAGTCAGTGCTCTTAACCTCTGAGCCATCTCTCCAGCCCCCAGAGTTAATACTTTTAAATTAATATAAATGTAAGGATATAAGTAGGGATGGTTTCACAAGAAGACAAAATCTGCACCAAGAAATGAGCAGCCTCAGTTAGCCTCTAATAAACAAACAGTAGTAATACGTAAAAAGGCAAGAAGTGCAAACATGGTGGGCCATGCTTATAATTCCATCATACAGAAGGACTGAGAGTTTAAGACCAGGTGCTATGTGGCTGGGGGAGAAGTCATACGCTACAATAATGATGTGCCTGCCAAGATGTGCTTGCTCACCATGGCAATTGTGGCATGGCATTGGGGGCAACAAACCACTTCTGGTTGTATTTAGGGATTGCTCCTCAAGAATGAACTCATGTCCTTCCATAAACCTGGCCAAGAGCTGGGGAGGTCACAGGCCCTCAGGGAAAACCTACTACTGTTGTTTTATGAAATGGATGTGGAATCAAACTGCCTTCTTAGTACTATGCTTATACCCAGTCCTGCACCCAGCCTCCAGCAGAGAAGTGTTTTGCAGTCAGTGATGACTAAGACAGAGACCCAAAACAGATCAAAATGTGGAGAATAAGTGACTCTGGAATGCTGGCCTTAAATGGGACATCTGTAGTACCCCCAAAGGCTAAAGAAATCCTGGGGAAGAGGGAGTGGAAAGCATATAAGAACCAGATGCTGAGAAGGAACAGCTCAAAAAGTGCCATTTGAACATGACAAGGGCCACTGCACTCTTGAACTCACTGTAGCTATGCTCACCTACACAAGAGCCACATCAGAGTACACCTGTCAACCTCTTACCATGATTGAATAAAGGGTCACATGGCCCACGCTCTCACTACAGGACTATGGCAATTGACAAGTGCAATGGGACAGAGTTCATTTCCTTCCATGGTGAAGACTCTGGTAAGTTACCCATGTTTCAGTAAATTCCCACTCGTGTTCATACAAGCTGTCATGGTTTGAATGAAAATGGCCCCATAGGCTCATAGAGAGTGGCACTATTAGCAGGTATGGCTTTGTTGGAGTAGGTGTGGCCTTGTTGGAGGAAGTGTGTCACTGGGGATGGTCTTTGAGGTTTCAAATGCTCAAGTCAGGCCCAGTGTCACTGTCTCGTCCTACTGCCTGCAGATGCAGTTCCAGAACTCTCAGATACCTCTCCAGAAACATGTCTGCCTGCATGCTGCCATGTTTCCTGCCATGATAATAATAAACATTTATTAACCTCTGAACTGTAGGCCAGCCCCCGTTAAATATTTTCCTTTATAAGAGTTGCTGTGGATTCTTGAAATTTGCAGGAAAATGGATGGAAGTAGAAGAAACCATTCTGAGCAAGGTAACTCAATCACAAAAAGACAAACATGGTATGTACTCACTCACATATGGATGTTAGACATAGAGTAAAGGATTACCAGCCTACAATCCACACTGCCAGAGAAGGTAGTAAACAAGGAGGACTCTAAGAGAGACATACATGGTCCCTGCAGAAGGGGAAAGGGACAAGATCCCCTGAGCAAATTGGGAGCATGGGAAGAGGGAGGGAGGGAGCTAGGAGAATGAGAAGGGGAGAAGAGGAGGGATAAAGGAGGGACATGAGGGAGAAGAAAGTTGAGTCAGGGGAAGAATAGAAGATAACAAGAATGGAGATAGAGGGAGACATTTTAGGTTTACAGAGAAATCAGGCACTAGGGAAAGGTCTGGAGATCTACAAAGATGACACCAGCTAATAATCTAAGCAACGGAGGAGAGGCTACCTTAAGTGCCCTCCACTGATAATGAGATTGATGACTGACTTATACGCCATCCTTTAGCAGCTGGTGGAAGTAGAAGCAGACACCCACAACTAATGACCGAACTGAACTGAAATCCAGATGCAGAGAAGGACAAATGAAGAGCAAACAGGTCCAGACCAGGCTGGTGAAACCCACAGAAACAGCTGACCTGAACATCGGGGGAACTCTTGCTTCCCCAGACTGATAGCTGGGATACCAGCATGGGACTGATCCAGACACCAGGAACAAGGGTTTCAGTGAGGAAACCTCGGAAATCTATGAGACCTCCTGTACTTGTTCAGTACTTATCCCTAGCACAGGTGTGGACTTGGGAAGCCCATTCCACATAGAGGGATACTCCCTGAGCTAAGACATGTGGGGGTGGGCCTAGGCCCTAACCCAAAGGATACGATAGACTCTGATGACGCCCTATGGAAGGCCTCATCATCCAGGGGAAGCAAAAAGGATATGTGATAGGTAGATAGGTAGAGTTTTAGTTGGGGCGGGGGGGGGGGGGGGGGAAAAGGGAACTGGGATTGTCATGTAAAACAATCTTGTTTCTAATTCAAATAAAAAAAATCTGAAAAAAAAAAAAGAGTTGCCGTGGTCATGGTGTCTCTTCACAGAAACAGAACACTAAGACACAAGCAAACACAGTTACCTCAGGAGGCTCAAGTAAGATTTTAAGGAACCCAAGTAGGAAGAGCCCTATTGAGAAGAAAGTGTTTCAATGAGAGAATGGGAGAGTAGTGGGTGTTATTAAATGCCCCAGACCTAGTAGACACATGTATGGAATTGTTAGAGTAAAAAAAAAAAATTTAAGAGTTTAATTCCAACCTTGGGAACATAGAAAGTTTAAGGCCAGCCTAGGCTATATTAGACCCTTTCTCAAAAAAAAAAAAAAGAAAAGAAAAGAAAAGAAAAGAAAGGAAGGGTGAGTGTTGAAGAGTTGCTTTAAAGATACAGGTGGCTTTCTGGCTAAAAAGACATGATTTTAGATATGAATCTACCTCCCTTAGGATTAAAACATCTGAAGAACATTTGTGGTGAGTCTGGTCAGGAAGGCAGATGTTGTCAATGTGCACATAAGGCCCTTGTGAGAGAGAGAAGCAACACTGTAAAGACGAACAGATGAGTCAGAGTACCAGAAGTTGACTTCAGCAGTTTATCCTTGCTGAACACAGTGGCACAAGACAAACACTGGCACTCAGCAGGCTGGGCCAAGAATATCAGGAGTTGAAAGCTATCCTGAGCTACATAGAAAAAACCTGCCTCAGAAAGGAAAAAAAAAAAAAAAAAGGAGGAGGAGCAAATGGAAAAGGAAGGTGAGGAAGGGAGTGAATCATTGAGTTACTACTCCATCAGATCAGATTCCAAGGAGTACATCAAACACTGTATCTCCCACTACACTGTCATTGGCTACAAGTCCAATATTAATGACACTAGCTGTGACTAAGATAAAGAATAGCTAAGCATACCATTTCTGAGGCCATAATCAGAGATCTGGGATTAAATACTTTCATTCCCTAGGTACTGAGAAGCATTGTCTGACCCCACAGGGAAATAGTGTATACTCTAAGCTTACCAAGAATATTAATTTAAAAATCCCCAACTTCCAACCAAGATGGAACAATAGAATAGGATTTAGCATCTCGCCTGAAACAACCACAAAAATGCATAAAGCACATAAAACAATGTTTGTAAGACAATGAAAATAATGATGCCTCACACACCAAAAACAAATACAGTGGGTGATATGCCACCCCAGCCTCACGAGAGAGCTTTCAGACCAGGGTTCAGAGAAGATGAAACCAGGCAGAGCCTAGCAGACTTATTGACCTGAGGAGATGAATTCAGAGACCAGAGAAACCAAGGCAGTTCACAATACATTCAATGAGGAAACCAACCTGGGCGACCTAAAGAAAATTTACCTCAAATGTGCACCTAAGAATTCATCAGCACATTCACAGAAAGAAACTAGGAAGGCCAGGGAACCCATCCCCCACAATTCCAGGAAGAGTACCCAACATCCGCACAGGACTCAATCTAAACTCAAAAGCTTGTAACCCCAGGGCACTGGCAGGGCTTGCAGAAGGATCTGGTCTCAGGAGTGGGGACAATTAGCAGTACAATAAGTAGTTTTGTCCCACCTAATAAATTGTTAAAACAATGCTCAAAAAGATCAAACTGTTTTCAAACAATTGTGCCCCAGGACTAAGCTTAGCCTGTAATAATTCAAAAGTATCTAAACTGCAATAAAATAAAATGACTATATCTGACATCTAATAATAACTTTTAAATTACCAATCATGCAAATAAAACCAAACAGGAAATGTGATTTACAATGAAGAGAAATAAATCAACTGAGACTAACTTAAAACTGATACAGATGTTAAGAATTAGAAAACCAAGATAATAAGCATTACAACTATTTTATATCTTCAAAAGCTATATAGAGATATTGGAGATATAAACATTCAAACTGAATTTACAGAAATGAAATCTATACTACATGGATTTCATTCCACTACAAAAAAAAATAGTTATTAGAGTTGATAACAGTAATAAAAATTATCCCAAGTAAAAGAGCAAGAATAAATGACTTTTTAATGGGAAATGAAATCGTTGGATGGTAAAAAGCTGTATAGGCCCAGGGTACAATCTTTGCCATTGCAAGATTAATAAACTAATTGAACAAAATGAAAAAGAAGTCTGTAAGCTGTGGGACAGTCTTGAGTAAGTTAAGTATATGTTTAATTAGAGAAGTCCATAGAAAGGAGAGAGGTATACACACACAAAATATCTGAAGAGTTGATGGCCCAAATTTTTTAATTTTATAAAAAATATAAAGTCACAGGTACAGGAGGCTCAACAAGTCCTAAACTTGAAAGACATAAAAGGGAGAAAGAAGAAGGGAGAAAAATGTCAGAATCTGAACTTCTCAAAGTGTTAAGAAAAAAAACTAAAAATTAGGCCAAGAAAAACTCATATGAACAGAGAAATATAATGTACAAAATTTCATATTAAAGAGATGTTTTTCTGGGTCAGTAAAATGGCTCAGGGGATAAAGAAGCTTACTGCCAAACATGAAGATCTATGATCAATTCTCAGAACATGACAGAAGGAGAGAACCAACACAGCAAGCTGTCCACTGGCAGACAGACAAACACACATATGTGCATGCGCGCACACACACACACACACACACACACACACACACACACACGTGTCCACTGGCTACACACAAACATAGTAAGTAAATAAATAAACTTTTAAGATCTATTTTTTTAAAGGAGGTGTTTTACAAAGCAGCAGAGAAATTAATTTTAAAAGCTGTTTTTATACTACTGTTCTGCTAAAGGAACATGGCAACAAAATGACTCCTAACAACATTCTGCTATAGTCATAGATCAGTGCCTTGCTCAGCCCTCATCAGAGAAGCTTCCTGCTGCAGCAGATGGGAGCACACACAGAGACCCACATCTGGTCAGTGTGCAGAGAGGGAGAGACCTTGGAACACTCACTCCTAAATGGGGTGTCTCCATCAACCCTGCCCCTCAAGGCTTAGAGAACCATATGGAAGAGGAGACAGAGTGTAAGAGCCAGAGAGGAGGAGGACACTTGGAAAACAAAGCCCTCCAAACACAGCAGGACTGACACACACAGAAACCCCCAGAGACTGGCGGCATGCACAGGGCCAGCACAGATCTAAGCCAGATGGGATCCCAGTACTGAGAGTGGAAGTAGATACAAGCCCCCATTCTTAACCCAGAGGCTATTTCCAATGGACAAACCACCTAAAAGGAAGAAACTCAATTTTCTTCACCGGGTATACAAACCACAGTTAAGGTCAGGCTCCGTGACCAGCAGTAGGTGACCAAGAGAAAAGAAACTCAATCGCATTTCTGGGGGTTCATTTGTCTCATAATGCTCTATCTGAGCTTTACATTTGTTTCATAAAGCTCTATCTGACCTTTGTTTTTCCCCTCTCTTTACAGGTCTTTTCTTTATACATTCTGGTTTCCAATTTTGTTTCTATAGGTTTCTTGTGTTTTCACAATGGCTTTTTTTGCCTGTTTGTTTTGTCCTGCCTATTTCATCTTATTTTATTTATTTATTTATTATTGTTACTGGTTTGGATGCCTATTTGTTTTCTAATAAGAGAGACAAAGGGTGTAGATTTGTGTGGGTGGGAAAGTGGGGAAGATCTCAGAGGAGTAGGTGGAGGAAAAAGAAGAGGTAATCAGAACATGTTGTATGAAAAAAATCAGCTTTCAATTAAAAAGGAAAAACACATTTGCTTTATCTTGATTTAACTTAGGTTGGGCATATGCATCTAGAAATTCACCTTTTATTGTAATTTCACATATGTGTACTGCCTGTGTGTGTGTGTGTGTAAATGTGTATTGTGTATATATGTATGAATGTGTGTGTGTAAATAGACACATACAACCTGTTGAGTCTATTGAGTATTGACCTTATATGTATGTTTTCAGAATTTCTAGTTCAGTGGAAAATAAAGATTTTAAAGCCCAGAAAGAATGAAAAAAGAAAGAAGGAAGGAAGGACAAGGAAGGAAGGAAGGAAGGAAGGAAGGAAGGAAGGAAGGAAGGAAGGAAGGAAGGAAGAAAAGAAGCAAGGAAGGAAAGAAGCTAAGAAGAAAGGAAAGAAGGAAAGTATATCTTACCAAAAATAGAAATTTTAAACAGGTGTTTGAAGTTTTGTGCTGGTTTGTATTCTCTTTGATTCAAAGTGACATCATTCACAGTTGTAGTGGAGCTACCCATATTCCGATGCATCATGGCATGTAGATGGACATGTTCCACAGCTCAAAAATAGCCAACTCATTTCTTTGTCATTGATAGAACTATGTAAAGAAGACTTACAAAATATAATTTTCGTTTTCTTCCAAGAATTCCCTAACAAATATGATTATATATGTATATGGCAATATCGAAATCTTTATACAGTAAAGGACTTACAACTAGTCTTTTTCCGGAACCAAGTTTTTGCTGTTCCGTCTCCTGCTTTTTATCTGCATCCGTTGCAAAGGCAAGAACTTGGTACCTGTTTGAAAAAGACAGCAAAGGATACATGACTTCATTATTTTTAATGTAAAAATTACTTTAAACTTCAGAAGCACATATTCCACAAACACTGTGAAAGACATTTTCCTTAGTTCTAAAAACCACAAATTTTAATTAAATTTTAGTGAGTTTTATTATGACACACGCTGTGAATTATCATCACGATAAATGACATCCCGGTGTTACTACCCTGAACCCGGCACGCCCATCAAGGATTTCTGGGGAACTGCATGTAGTGAATAACTGGTAAGAAAGTCTAGCATCCAAATACCACACAACAGAAAGAACTTAAATACCTAACAGTCAGTGTCATAGAAATCCTTCATATATACTCTCTAGAAGTTTTATATTTAAGCTATCCAGCCAAACTACTTACTGTCGGTAAATTTTACCAAGTTACTCACTCCATTGTAGCTTCCCGACTATGAAATGAAAACAGTTATTGCTAATTTATAAGAAAAATTCAAAATCAAATTGTCACAACAGGCCTAATTCAGTACCTGGTGTGTACATGCTGTTTACTCTTCATCCAAAGTGCTTAGGACTAAAGTGTGTCAGAGTTCAGAGGAGGCTTGTTCACACACTTTATAGCCTTGAAGCATGATGTAAAAATTCCAAAGTGCTTCAAAAAACCAAGCATGACATCAGTACTCAAAATGTTTTAGATAACCAAGAGTTTCACATTAAGAATGCTCAAGCCATATTAGATTCCCAATTATTGATAAAGATGATTGAGAGACAAAAAGACAGACATAGATTTATCAAAACAGAGAAATCGGTGACTCATCGGACACTTGATACACTCTCAATAATGAACGTTATGAATGATCTACAAATATGTTACAGTTTGCATTTCAATGATAATGTTTAGTTTGAGCATTCTTTAAAACAATTTATAGGGGGCTGGAGAGATGACTCAGTGATTAAGGGCACTGGCTGTTCCTCCAGAGGCCCCAGATTCAATCCCCAGCACCCACATAGCAGCTCATACAATACTATGAAAGCCAAGCATATGTGAATTTTGTTCATTCTGTAAATACATTAAAAGCAACTATAACAGAAGTTGACAGTGGAAAAAAAACAAAACCATGATCTAACTCATGAGGCATTTCCAAACTTCCTGTGCTGGTCATGTGACAACAACCAAGAGTTGTCTCAGGATGCCCTGGGCAGGCTTTACAGTGTCAGTGGAACATGATGACACAGTCATGTCCTTAGGGTCCTGGGGGTTCAGGGCATGAAGGCTGGTATTAGAAACTGAGTAAAACTTTGTCACATTGGCAAGGAGGGAAATGTAAACGTATCATAGAGAAGGACGTAGCACATATGAAAGCAGGTAGCATGAAAGGCCATGGCAGCTTAGGGGAAAGGCATGGCAGAGCAGAATGAGTCATGTGATAGAAGCCTTAAAGGTAGGAAGGAGAGAATGTGAGTCTTGCAAAACCAAGATGTAAAGCGTGCAGCTGCAGCAAATGTCTATACCTTAACCTTGAACTGACCTTCAAAATCCCCAAATTTCCAAAGGTGATTTAAAAAAGCAGATCTCACAATCCAAGCTGCAAATAGGAGCAGCTGTTGCCAGTTTCAGGAGGGGGGGCAGAAATAGTATGCAGTTATGGCCTGAAATCTCAGGATTGGTCCTTCTATAAATCAACTGTCAGGCAAGTAATTACACAGGTAGTTTACTTTCAGAAGACTCCAATCTACCAGAGGACGGCACAGGTATTAATGAGATTTCTGCAAAAATCCAAAGGTCCTTCAGCCCTTTGAAGCTTCTTATATAGCTATATAGTTATTATTTCATCTGAGAACCAAATAAGCCTCTAAAGTAACTTCATTAACATCTAAACAGCAAGCAAAGACACAACCAACACTGACTCCTGATTCCCAAATCACCCTTTCTCTTCCTGGAACACGCTAGGAAGAGTACTGTATTACTTGAATATAGCTGGCAATAATTTAGACAGCATCACTCTTACAGTTCTTCCTTAACTCCTCTTAACTGTGACCAAGAATGTGCATGACACTCAATAATTCCAAGTAGACTTGGAAAATAAGAAACAAAGAAAGCACTTCATCTCTTTCCTACCAGTCCAGTACTCAGTGATGAAAGCTAAAGAACCAAGTCCCCTTTGAGACTGCTGAAGGAAGACTCCGGATGCTGTGAAGAAGTATCAGAAGTGGGCTCAGAACTGCACAGTGCTGATCACAGACACTGCGAGCCCTGGTGCTTTGGTGGCATCTTTGACCCAGTAGCCACAGATGCTTAACTTATCCAGGGAACACCAATTACAAATGCAGCCACATGGTGTAGTGCCCTACCATCTCATACCATAGAAACAGCGCCAGGCTGCTGAGATACGAATGCTGTAAAACAGGTTATAAAAGTCAGCTCCCCAAGTCATTTACTTCCAAATGAAGCATAGCTGTCACCTCAAGGGGTAGCAGACAATTTGGTCAATACTTGATTGGAGAATGTAACTAGAAATCATAATTGTGTGCAGGGTTATGGTGTCTATTTTTACCATCACACAAGTATTCTTATCATGTCAAGGAAAATTGTTCTCATTAAAAGATGCCAGGAACAAAATAGAACCTTTCTAAATACACATTTCTTTTCATTTCTCCACAAAATACAAGTGAAACACCTACTGTGAGCAAGGGAGTGAGCATGAACTTCAAAGGATACATGATTCTTGCCACTAAGGAGCAGTGAACCCAACCAAGAACAAAACCAATGTAGGTGACAGCTTCTAAGAGGCTAATGTGGTTGACAGCATGGAGTACTAAGAGGCTGATGGGCATCCCTGAACAACACCTTATTGAGAAGGAAGGAGTGGGAGGAAGCAGAAAGGCCTCCACACATAATGTTCATAAGCAGAGAAGGAAGCAAGAGCATGACAGACACTGGTGACAGCAAGAATGAAAGACAAGAAAGAGCAAAGCCTTTCCTCTGATCAGCGCCTCAGCCTGGCAAACCATACAACCTTCTAACAAGTCAATCAATAAACTCAACCAATGTGTCCTTTAAGGTGTGAACACTTTCTGTGTATTTCTGCTTACAAATATTCAAATATTTTTAAAATCTTAAAGAGCAAAACATTATTTTTTGTATTTATTCAAAACTTTTGGTGAGCATACAAAGAAACGGGTTTCATATATGTGGTGGTTTGAATAGGTATGGCCCCCATACACTAATATGTTTGAGTGCTTGGCCCCCAGGGAGTGGCATTATTAGGAGATATGGCCTTGTTGGAACAGGGATGGCCTTGTTGGAGGAAGTGTGAGACTGTGGGGGCGGGCATTGAGGTCTTACATCTCATGTATGCTCAAGCCACGCCCAGTGCCACAATTCACTTCCTGTTGCCTGCAGATCAAGATGGAGAACTCTCAGCTTTTGCCAGCACCACATTTGCTTACATGCTGCCTTACTTCCTGTCATGATGATAATGGACTGAATCAATGAACTGTAAGCCACACCAACTAAATATTTTCCTTTTTAAGAGTTGTCATGTCCATCCACAGATATACACTGAGCCGAAATCGGGAATTTAGTTGAAGAGAGGGAGGAATGAAGAACGAAGGGGTCTGTACCAGGTTGGAGAAACCCACAGGAACAGTTGACCTGAACAAGGGAGAGCACATCGACCCCAGATGCTGTCAGGGAGGCCAGTACAAGACTGATCCAGACCCCTGAACATGGATGTCAATAAGGAGGCCTCTGCACTCCAAGGAGCCTCTGGTGGTGGATTAATATTTTTTCCTGGTGCAAGAAAGGACTTTGAGAGCCCATCCCAAGTGAAGGGATACACTCTGGCCCTGGACACATGGGGAAGGGCCCAGGACCAGCATAGGAAGACTTGGTGGACTTTGCAGAGCCCCCGTTGAGGGCCCTACCCTGCCTGGGGAGTGGTGGGTGGATGGGGTGGGGGTGGGCTGGAGGTGGGGGAGGAGGGTTGGTGGTGAGGGGAGGGAGAGGGAGAAGGGACTTGAAATAAGCTTGTTCCCTAACTAGAACTAATAAAAGAAAAAAAAAAAAAGAGTTGTCATGTCATGGTGTCACTTCACAGCAACAGAAATCCAAGCTAAGACAAAATGACATCTTCATTTGTGTTATTAGACTTTGTTCTCAAATATTCCCCTTCCCCACTGTCCACTATGATGCCCCCTCCCACGTCCACTAGCTCCCCTCCCTCTTCAGTGAGCCTCTACTTTTGTTCTCTTACTACACATAATCCCATTGCAGTCACTATCTCCTACCTCCCTTAGATTTCTTCCTCCCTCTCTAGCTCTGTCACCTACAAACATACAATTATATATGCATGCATACATGCAAATACATACATATAAATACATACATATAAACACAATCTCTTTTTTTATATAGGTTCCATATATGAAACAAAGCATTATATTCGTCTTCCTGAGTTTGGTTCATTTTGCTTAACACAATTATTTCCAATGGCATCAATTTTCTTGCAAATTTCTGGACTCCCTTTTTATTTATGGTTGTATAAAATTATGTGTTACCTGCTCATGGACATCTAGTCTGGTTCTGTTTCCTGACTGCTCGGAATAAGACAGCTATAAACACTGGTGTGCAATTATCTCTGTGCTATGTCATCTCAGGAGTCCTTCGGACATACACCCAGAGTTGTACTATTTTAATTTTTTTAAGGAATTTCCATAGTAGTTATACAAGTTTTAACTTGCACCCCTTTTCCTACTTCTTCACCAGCATTCACTGTCATTTATTTTCTGGATGATAGCCATTCTGACTAGGGTTAGACGGACTCTGAAGGCATTGACTGATGGGCCTTTAAGTGCTTAAAGTCTTTTATTTGTTTAGAAGTGACTGCAAGAGTCATTGGGGAATGGTTGATACACTCCTGCTAGGAGGCTTTCTACACACAGCTCCAAGCCTTGTCAGTGTCCCATGGAAAGCTGGGCAGTGGCCTGTATCACAGCAGGCTGCAGAAGCTGACTGACAGGATGCCTGGCACACCCATCTAAGCATTGCCCAAAGCTAAGAGGCAGGTCTTATCTGACTCTACATGTCTAGTGCCTTTTACAGTATGTGAGATAGAGAAAGTCTTTTTCTAGAAACTATAAAAGAGATACTTTAAAAGTCCTTTGCAAATCCACAATCACAGAGGTAAATGATGCTAGATTATAAAGAGCACACAGTTCAATAGAATTGCCCTGGGAAATTCATAAAGAATTAGTTCCAGGACATTGATACTCCCACAGTTGCCAAACTCTGACAACGTTCAAGTCCATTATAAAAGTAGCATAGTATTTGCAACATAGACTATGAATCCCCTTATTTCTTTTTTCAATACTGAGGATAGAGTACAGGCATTTTATTACTGAGCTATAACTACAACCCTTGCCAAACTGTGTGTATGTGGGGGGGGGGGGGTGATGAGCAAATGCACACATACTTGTGTGACATACATGTGGAAACAGGGATTCATGTCAAGAATCTCTGTCACCCTCCACCTTACATTTTAAGACAGGGTTTCTCCCTGAACCTGGAGCTCACCAATTTAGCCATGCTCTCTGGCCGCTACATGTACCTCCCCACCACTAGGATTCTACAGGCACTTGCACCATCACAGTCTGCTTCTCACATTGCTTATCTGAACACAAGTCCTCATGCTCGTGCGGCAAGCACGCCACCAGCTGAGCCGCCTCACAGCCCTGCCCAACGTGTACTTTACATCATCCCTAGGTAGTTTATAATATCACTACAATATAAATGCTATAGGAATGGATGGAGTGTGGGTTGTGGTATGCAGGAAATAATGGCAAGAGGGGAAGGTACATTTTATTTAAAATAAGATGTTTTTTCAAACATCTCCAGTATGAGATTGGTTGAATCTGTAAATGTGGAACCTGTGCACGAAGAGGACCAATTGTGTACAAAAATCCAGATTCTTTTTAACAGAAAATGGGCTTCAAGAGGTAATTTAGGAGGGCATTGAAACCAAGCAGAGGCAAGCAAGCCACTGAAGCTTGGGAGTTAGAGACCAGCCTAACCAACAATGGGAGCCACCATCTGCCCCCCCCAAAAAAAAATGTTTAATAAAAAAAGAGAGAGATAAAAATATAGATATAGATGAAATGCCTTTCAAACACTTAGGATTGGGGGATAAAAACATAAACTTAAGTGAAACCTAAAGACTTTTCGATGGGAAGGCCTAAGCAAGAATATTTACATACGTGGCATGAATTCTTTCAGCTGTTTTGTCTTGGGGTTTGGAGATTTTTGTTTGTGTGTTTTCAGTTAGCACATAAAGTAATATCTCTCGTCATTGCATTCTCTTGCATGCTTTGTTTTGGTTGCTCTTCTTCCTCCTGCCCCACCCCCTCCCCCAACTTGTACCCTCCCAGTTGTCCACTTTCAAGTTCCATGTATTCCATTATCTTCCACCTCCCTCCTTTCCTAAATCCTTGCACCCCCATCCCCCACACTTCCACCCCTGCCAACACTGCCACCCCACCCCCAACACCACCCCCCATCTCAGGGGCCACTTTGTAGATGAGTAAGTAATTCTGTCAGGAAAAGAGAATAAAAGACATTGCAAATCTGGACACATGGCCAAGAGGACTAAAACACCAAAACCCTTGGCCTCAATACAGGACAAAGGAGTCTCTCAGAAAAGTAAAACAGGGAGCTAGCAAGGAGCTTGGTAAAGGCACTTGCCACCAAGCCTGATTCGATCCCCAGGTCCCACATGCTAGAAAGAAAAAACCAAATTCTGAAAGCTGTCCTACACATACACACACACACACACACACACACACAATGGCACACATATGCACATAACCCCTATACAATAAAAATAAATAAATGGAATTAAAAAAAAAAAGGGTACAACAGGCCAGTGAGGTGGCTCAGAGGGTAAAGGCCTGACAACCTGAGTTTGATCTTGGGTGGAACCAGCTCCCCCAAGTCGTCTCTGGTGCCAAGGCATGTATCATGCCAGACATGCCCTACACCAAACACGTGTCTACACACAGACAAAAATACATACATACATAAATGTAAAAACAAGCCCAGCTTGATAGTACATGTCTGTAATCCTAAATAGGAGGCTGAGGCAGAAGGAATACAGCTTCACCCAGCCTGAGCTACAGAGCCAGATCCTGTCTCAAAAAACAAAAATAAAAAGAAAGAAGAAAAAAGGAAGGAAGAAAAAGAAAGGAGAAAAAAAGAAAAAGAAAGGGAACTGAAACGAGCACTCAATTGTAAATTAAAAATCACTTGCAGTCTATATCGACAATGATGAGTTCTGTCTTATCCACAAGGATCTCATATTAAAACATAGAGCCTGGGGCCTGGCGATGTATAAATGTACATTAACAACAGGCTGGCCAGGAGATTCCTGCACACACCAAAGCTTGAGGTCAAAGCCCATACATGCTCCTATCTGAATATAATTAACTTTAAAGTAGTTAAATATCAATATCAAAATGAAGGTGAATTATGTCTTAAAAGCCCATTCTATTAGCCAATTACATTCTATTAACTGACTATAGATAGGCTTAATGAGGCCTCAAGAAAAAGGAACCAGGAGTTTTCATTCTTTCCTCCTTCTAAATTTCCCTAGTGACTATCATTTAATTCAATCTATTAAAATTGAAAGCATGCATAGATACATCACAGAACATAATGTTGTAAGTCTTCCCAATTGTCCTATGTCTCATGCATTTTTACCATTATAAATGAAGCTCATAATGGATAAAGTGTGTGGATTTTAGATCCCAATGAAAATGAGTTAAATAGATCAGTGTGTTGGAGAACTATCAGAGCTGAAACAACACTCTTGAGATATTAACCTCACACATTAAGGAAGCCCACCCATTGCCTCCTCATAGACTCTCTCCTGGAGTTACTACAAATTAACTCTCTGCACACCCACTGCTGGCTGATCTTATATCAACTTGACACATAGACTAGAGTTATCTGAAAGGAATAAACTTCAGTTGAGAAAATAGCCTGATGGCTATTCTTGCTTGTCACCTTGAATGAATGTGGTATGGAAGGACAAACCAAATAAACCCCTTCCTCTCAAAGTCAATTTTTGGTCATGGTACTTCATAGAGCAATAGAAAACACTAACACACCACACACACACACACACACACACACACCACACACACACACACACACACCACACACACAAACCAGAGTAAGCAATGGCACATTCAGATCCATGCACTGTTCCCCTTGTGTAGTCTTGCTTGGCAGGAGATAAGGCACTGGACTGGATGGGAGATTGAAAAGCAGATGGCCATAGTACCGCCTAAGTTTTGGCAGTCTGGGTAAATTACAAAAATACTTTTCTTAATTTCTCAAACAAAAGATATTTATGTTCAGAGGCAATACCACACTTCATTCCCTCCAGGCTAGAGCCAAAGGAGCTACAAAAGGAAAGTGGCATGGAGTTCTGTCACTTGCCTCTGCTTAGTCACAAACATTTGCTCATTTTCAGCTTTGACAACCACCCAAAAACAAAAGACTTCCATTTACGAAGAGGGAAATGCACAACTGTACACATGACTGTAATGAAGACAAAATCCCTATGGCCACTTCCCAAGAGATTTATACTTTCTGCCCACCTTGGAACTATCATGTGGCCAAAAAGCAATACCAGAAAGATATGAAGTGTAAAGTTCTAAACACCGCCATCACAAAGACAATAAATGATGGGATTGGAGAGCCAGCTCAGCAGTGAAGAGCAGACTCAGATTAGTTCCCAGCACCGGCATCCAGTAGCTCACAATCACCTGTGACTCCAGTTCCAGGGAACCCAATACCCCCCTCTGGCCTCAAGGGACCTGCACATATCTGATAAACATAAACCCAAATAGGCACTTATGTGCACATAAAAAAAATCTTTTTTAAAAGATAAAACATTAAATACCTAAGGAGATTTAAAACCAACACTCTTCCTGCTCCCAGAACAGATCTCTACATTCTTTTCTCATTCTCTCTCCCAACAATAATTGTTGTGGATATTTACCTGATGGAGAAGAAAATCATTTCTTTCAAACATAACTCAGGAATATCTGTAAAAATTTCTAGCAAAAGTACACACTATGTTCATAGCGTCATGTCCACATCTTTTCTACAAGGAACTGTTCCTTTATAAAAATCATTAACATTCATTGCAATAATTATATCTCTTCCCAAATAGTTCTCAGATGACATATGCTTTCGTTGTTATTATAGAATCATTCCACACATGCAAATTTATACCTGGCTTTTTTTTTTACTCTATATTACATTTTGTTGTCTGTCTGTCTGTTGTTGCTGATGATGATTTGTTTTGTTTTGTTTTGTTTTGAAAAAAAAAGTTATCACTATGAAACCCTGGCTGTAACTCCTATGAAGACAATGTTGGCCTCAAACTCACAGATACCCACCTACCTCTACCTCCTGAGTGCTGGGATTAAAGACTTGGGCTACCACACCCAGCCATTTTATTGTCATTATATCAGGGAGTAGTCATATTAATATTGGGCATTTTCTATTGGTGGTAGGTTAGAACACACTTAATCTTTATTACATACTGGCCAATGCTCACAATGGTATCTCCTAAGGATACTGACCATCTACACAGCCTTCTGAATTCTTTCCCAATTAAATTTTACCAAAGAATCCAGTCTCCCCTTCATTTGCAACATTCAAGGTCCTCCTAGAAAATGATTAATCAGTAACAAACAACCACAATAATCATGATCCCAAGGGTGACACACAGACTCACTTGTAACTTTCCACTTGTCTGCAAGAGGAGACAGTGATGAAGGAATCTGTTCGGGGACTGTAAGCAAGAGGGCCAGGCAGAAGAGAACCCGGGAGAAACCTGCCAAAAGCATAGCTTTCCTGCTCGAACACCATCAGCATCCCATCCATAGACTGGATACAAATTAAATCTCGACCTAAAGAAGAATTAGAAGAAATTAGATACCTTATTTTTGATAAATTTAATTGATAAATAAATTTAAATTTAATTAAAATAAATTTAATAATCACTATCCTACTCAAATATATCACAGTCCACTTCTACCCCACAAGGCAACCTTAGGGTAGCTTCCATTTCAAATTTCAACACACTGAAAATATCAGGGTATCAATACATATATACATGCCCCAATTTTATATTCTTAAGATGTTTATACTTTCATTGTATGTTCAATTTTATATTCATCAGGTATTCATATTTTTAATAACTTTTTATATATTATATGCCCAAATCCCCAATTTCAAAATAACCCCTGAGAACAATCATGATTCTAAGATTCTAAGTATCTAAGATTCTAAGATACTTCCCCGAATCTGACATACAGCAAAAAATACTTCTCCAGGGAACTACTTATCATTGCCATATGTCTATCTCATGCTTTCATATGACTTAGACATCAAACAGCACACAGGGAGCCAGGGATAGCAACCCAGAGTAGAGTATATGCACATGCAGCAAGCTCTGATTCCAACCCAACACACAACACAAACACACTAGAACACAAACACACATACATAAATGCATATGCACCCCTGCTCTCTCTCTCTCTCTTTCTTTCTCTCTCTCTCTCTCTCTCTCTCTCTCTCTCTCTCTCTCTCTCTCTCACGCGCGCGCGCGCGCGCACACACACACACACACACACACACACACACACACACACACACACACACACCAGATCAAATCCGCAGACTTACTTTAGGTACTAGTTTTGAATAAATCACAGTGATAGACAGTAGTGACAGTAAAAGCATTAATGCTGAAAGAACAATTCCTGGTTGCCCTATAAACTGACTTTGAAGATGTCTTCCACTGCCAATATGTCGGTCTTGGTTTTAAAACTTCTTAAAATACACTAAGATGAAGATGATCATTTCTGTGATATAGTACACAGCCCCTAATCTGAGACTGAATGATATAACTCTGCATGTTCTGCTTATGTGATTAGTGTATCTTATAACCTTTCTATAGGGAATAACTATAGTAGATAAAAGCCATTTATTAAGGAATAAATAAAAGGTCAGTCACCTAGTTTGTCATTTCTAGCTCAAGCTTATACAGTTTAATCCTATGGGGACTAGTCCACATTACCTTGGGTATCAGTGATATTTTTATGAGTAATAAATCTAAATTTTACAGTGCCTTTGCTAGGGAGCAATTAAGTTGCATAGGAATAAGTGATATTCTCACTCTATCTGAATAAGAACAATCATACAACTGGACAATTCTCAAAGGATTGCACACTGCTTAAGGAGAGCCAAAAGAGAAAGCAAGCTGATAGCTGTGTTTACACTACAAAATACTATAGCCCATCGTGACTGACTCAAACTATCTTGAATCTTTAAAAGTGTTAATTTTGCTTGAAAAGTGTTCCCTCAATGCTCTACTTTCTCTGCAACAATTATTTGGTTTGGTAGTCTCTGTTTTGTATTCTATTTTTATTTAATCTTTATTCATAACATATTATTTGTATGTGTTCTTCAAATGTGTCCCTGCTATGAGAATGCATTCAGAAACACAGTCAATCAGTTAGCTACCCTGGCAGCCACACCATTCTGTTATCAGGAAAGATGAGGCAGGAAGCTGAAACAAATGCTGTAAGGTCTCTGTACACAAAGCATACAAAGGAGCATTCTCAGATTTCAGCCAAGGTTCTAATTTTATTTTTACTATGGTCCTAATGATTTTGGTGAGTATAAAAAGCTGATGATAACTCAGCAGCTTCAGTTGATTTGTAAAGTAAGTATAATTGTAAAAAGCTTCAAGACTACCAACTTATCTTCAGCAAAGGCACCAAGAATGCATAATGGGAAAGGATGGTCCCTGTGTGGGATATTTGTACACTGTGTGAAGATGTATTGCTGTGATTGGTGTAATAAAAGGCTGGATAGCCAATAGCTAGCCAGGAGGTATAGGTGGGACTTCTGAGCAGAGAGAACTCTGGTTAGAAGAAAGGCAGGATAGCCAGACAGACATGAAGAGGAAATAGGAGGTGCAAGATAGAAGAGAGGCGCTGGGCATTGGTGGGGCACGCCTTTAATCCCAGCACTCGGAGGAAGAGGCAGGCAGATCTCTGTGAGTTAGAGGCCAGTCTGGTCTACAGAGCAAGTTCCAGGACAGGCTCTAAAATAATACAGAGAAACCCTGTCTCAAACAAAACAAAACAAAACAAAAAAAGATAGAGAGGTAACGCCATATGACAGAATGTAGATTAATATAAATGGGTTAGCCGAGTGGTATTGGCACATGCCTTTAATCCTAGCACTTGGGTGGCAGAGGCAGGGAGGGGGATCTCTGTGAGTTCAAACCAGACTGGTCTACAGAGTGAGTTCCAGGACAGGCGCCAAAGCTACACAGAGAAACCCTGTTCCAGGGGGAATATATATGAATGATGGGGGAAGTCCTTCTGTATATATAATTCTCTTATTGGTTGATGAATAAAACACTGTTGGCAAATAAGGCAGGAAGATAGGGGTGAGTAGGACATGAAGAGAATTCTGGGGAATATAGGCAGATGGAGTTGCCATGTAGGCTGCCAAAGGAGTAACAGGTCCAGACCCTTCTCGAGTAAGATAAGACCATGTGGAAATACTTAGGTTAATAGAAATGGCTTAATAATTAAGACAGAGCTAGCCACTGGCTAACAGGTTTATAATTAATATAGCTCTGTGTGTTTATTTGGGGTTCAAGGTCTGTGGGACTAGCCAGGACAAAGACACACACACACACACACACACACACGGTTAATTTAGGTTATAAGAGCTAGTTGAGACAAGCCTAAGCTAAAGGCAAAGCTTTCATAATTAATAATAAGTTTCTGTTTCATTATTTGAGGACTGGCGATCTGAAGACAGCCCAATGAGAAAATACTGCTACAGGTCTTCAAGAACAGAATTCATAATGGGAGATAATGGTCTTTGATAAACAGAGTTGCAGACACGGGATACCCACACACAAACTGGGAAAGAGAAAAAGAGGAAGGAAAAGAGGAATTGAGGACTTATTGTATACCAACCCTCAATAACATGGATTTAAACATAAGCCCACAAGAGCCCTAAAACATGGGGGGGAGGCCAGGACACTGGCCTTGGCAGTGACTTTTAAAAAAATGCCAAAAACATAAGCAACAAAAAGAAAACAAACAAAAAAAATAGACAAGTGGATATGTCAAACTAAAAATTACTGGCCAGTAAAAGAAAACTAAATAGGAAAGGGGGTGCAGAGAAAGGGGAATGTAAGGGGGACAGAGAACTGGGGAGGTAAGGGGGCCAAGCAAGGAAAGGTGTTTGCAAACCATGTATGACAAAGGCTTAATCTCCAAACCACACAGAGAACATATGACTCAGTAAGAAAAGTGAAAGTTTATTTTAAAAATAGACAAAGTGTCTGAAAGGGTACTTTTCCTCAGGGTAGGTACAAGCAGCCAACACACAAAGGGAGAAACCTGCAGTTGTAAACCGGTATGTTCTAGGACTGAAAAGAGAGAGAGGTCATGGTTTCAGCATGTGAAATCTGCTGACAATCGACCTTACATGTTCTCACCTTAAACAAAAATATTGCCACTAAAACGGTAAACATGGGGTGATAAATACATTAGATAGCTTGGTTATGGTACTTATTTCATACTACAGGCATATACATGCATACTTATGTTTGATATATATCAAGCATTGCACTAGGTGCCTTGAATACACAGTCTTTGTTTGTCAATTATACCTCAATGAAGCTGTAAACAGAGTTCCAACATCAGAAATAAGATGTCAAAGATGCTAACATGTATAGCACATATGAACCACACAATAAATTATATGACATCATCATAAGGGATTTTATTGCCTGTTTACCCGGCCCAGGAGGAAAAAGTAGTAGAAGTGAAGATACCATCTGCAGTGAACAGTGTCTACAGCTAACAAAAAGGAAGATACCACAAGACACAGAAGACACATAAAAGCCAGGCATGGTGTATCATATAATCTCAGTGGTTAGGCAGCTGAAGCAGAAGGCATGCCATGTGATCAAGGCCAACCAAGACTATATAGCAAGGCCCCATCTTTAAAATAATAATAATAATTAAGTGCATAAAAGTTAATTTTTAAAAAGCTGTAAGTTTAGGATAAGCGCAATTCAGCTTACATATTTCAAAAAGAAGGAATTCTGTATGATAATAAATTAAGAGCTACTGCATGAATTTCATATAATTTAGTGTAACCTAGATCTTGTGGCAGAATGCTAACTGCTCCCCCTACAATCACTCTGTCTTTATCACTCCAATCATGAATTATCACCAGACAGACAGCTATCCAAAGTAAAGCACACTTACAGTCCTCTGGTAAAGACAGCAAATGATTGATGTCGGTTGACCATACTCAGAGTTGGTGGGAAGTATTTGTGGTGCAAGGCATGCAACTTTAAACACTGCAAATCAGTCCTTGTAACTGCTGGCTACAGGTGTGAGATAAAGTCCTCAGAGCCACTGTCCTAGTGTGACAGGATAAGGAAACAGGACTTGAAGAAAACCTGAGCTCCTGAGGAAGCTAGCCCCTTGGGCTTCTGTGAACATAGCATAAAGGACTCATTTCCTGAAGCTTCAGCAGCACAAAGGAAAACACTTAAACTGTTAAGTCCAAGACAACTATGCTATGCCATATTTGTGCTCTGACAAATAAAACTTGCTTGGAATCAGACTGAAAGACCTCAGAAGAGGTACTTTCGTAGAAGGAGACCCACATCCAGGAATCAGCGAAACCACGAACTTTGGATGCAAAAGCAAGAGGCTTTATTAGTAGCGCTGGTACCTGGGGGCTTAGCTTTTGTTAGGCTAAGCCCCGAGCCAAGGGAGAGGGGTCCTTATATAGCTAAAAGCACCGTGCAGAAGCAAAAAGCATAGTTACAGGGATTCTATTGGACAATTTAATGAGG